TGTCAAAAAAATAAAATTCGAAGAAAGCGCTTAGAGTGGGACACATGGCGGCGGTCGAGAGTGCGTCAAATGACGTTGATCGTTGTGAGGCTCTCAAAAAAACGCTCGTCGACTAATTGGATTCTACATGACCATGCACGACACGACCTAATCAATAAAAGGCCTTGCACGACATGACCCTGTAGGCCCTCATATAAAAGGGTCGTGTCGTGCCAGCCCAAATGCTTCGCCTCGTGGATTGGGCGGGCACACGAGCTAAAAGGGTCGACCGCACGGTTGCGGGCCGGCCCTGGTTGATTTTCGGCCTTGTGGGCCGTTTCGGCATTGTCATTCCGTATTGTTCTCCTCTCTGCCCACTGCTCCGTCCGCCACTCCGACCCCCAAACCCCCAACCCGCTTCTATCCTCCGCTCCTTGCACACAGGCAGCGGCGCGCCGCGCCGGGGCGTCGCCGCGCGCGTGCAAGATGAACCTAGGACGCACCACGGTCCAGATTCACAGGATGCAGCAGCCTATAAGAACACCCGGCGCCCCCGCCGTCGCTCGGTTAGTTGCGAGCGCCCACCGAAAGCACTGCGAGGAAGCAAGAAGTAGCGGCGGGCCTCCTCGCCGCATTCCACCAAATTTCCCTGTAGGTAGGTCTCCATTGGAGTCGATTAGAGCCTTGAATCGGAACGGTTTTCTTGAGGTAGGTTCCGGTTCTTGCCCGTTCTTCCTTCGTTGTTCGCTGTCCGGTTCGTGATTTGGCCTTTCGCCAAGAAATCGAGGCGTGCTTGTCTCTAGTTCTTCGATTCTATTGCCGGAGTCTATGAAGTTCTTGCTAATCCATTCTCCGCGTTCTCGTTTCAGCCTGCGAGTTCTTGCCTTTCCTCACCAATTTGGTCGCTTCCCAGCTCCTGGAAGAGGCCCAAGCGAAGCCTGAAGGTACGAATCCCGTGTCCATCTCGATTCGGTTACTCCGATTGTTTGTGCAGAATCTGTTTTTACTCTGTATGTTCAATCTCCATTGCGCAGTTTCCACCGTGATTAGCAGCTAATCAGCGTCTTTCGCTAGTTATCTGAATTCTGAAGAAGCGGATTGAGCAAACAAGAACTGCTTTCGAGGTGTGCTCTGAGTCTTGCATTCCTGTTCCTTTCCCAAGAGTTCAATAAGGGCTTGACTCTGGTTTTCCTGATTCGATGAGTTTCTTGCTGATACATTTATTTTCTCTTCTTGTTCCAGTCCTCAGGTTCTTGCTTTTCCTGACCAATTCGATCGCCTGCCATTTTCCACAAGAAGCCTCGAAGCCGTCAGGTACAACTCTTTTACCATGTCTCGCTAGCCACTGCCTAGTGATTGGTAGATGAAGTTCATTTCTTCGCTGTGACCCCTTGTATGCAAGAATGCTTGAAATACAGAAAGAAATAGAGAGGGGGGTCATCCCAGAACCAAGTTTCAGTTCATGTATGTTCGTGATGCAATGATCGTGTGTCTGTTCTTGGTATGTTCTCTGGAGGGAAAAGTTTTTCTCTTGGAAGAAAAGTTTGATGAGATTGAATTAATGTGTCTGATGCAGTACTTGACGCAGTCGATTGGATGAATTTTTGTGTGTCCATTAGTTATGTTGGTGTTTTGGCCAGCAAGTTTCTCACTTTTGCCGAGGATTTTTGTTGAGCCTTATCTTTTAGTTTACTGGTTAGATGGTTGTTGTTTGTTTCAAAGAATGCCTTGCTTATACGATGCGTTCTTAATTACTGAATGATTGTTGTGATTCAGAAATGGCCCTCAACAGAAGATATGCAGCATGCGTGGAAAGAATATGCCACTTCCATGGATTTCCCCAAATTTATTATGATTGTTGTTATTGCTAGTAGGGTGCTATCCGTAGGCTATCATTTAGGATATTTCCACAGTTGCTGCTTCCATGGATTTGCTTTTTTGAAAGAAAATCCTAAATCCACTGAATTTCCTATGACGTGCCCTTAACTGTAAGTGTGCTGTGTTTCAGAAATGGGAAAGAAGTGCAGCACCTGCGGCAAGACCTACAAAAATAAACGTGCTTTTAATGGCCACAAGATGAAATGCAAGTCCCCCAAGAATCCTGAGCAAAATGCTGCAGGACAGGAAGAGGCTTCAAGCAGTGTCGGCGATAGGAAAGATCTGCTTAATTTTCATATAGAAAGGCGGCCACGGAGCAGCCGGGGTGCAGCGAAGGAGATGGATGGTGGAAATGAAGTCTTTCCGTCAGAAGCGGAGATAGATGCTGCAGAGGGGCTTAGTCTTCTCCAGTACCGATGTGGCAAGGATACATCTTCTGATAATGAACCGGGAATTGATTATTCAGGGGTTGAATCAGCTGCTGATAATTCTGATGCAGTGCAAGAGGACAACCCGTATCTTCCGTTGATTTTGGGTAAACTCAATAAGATAATATCTGATAGAAACTCAGCTTCTGTGGATCTCTGTGGAGGCGCTGAAAAATGTGGAAATGAAGCCCTTTCTTTAGAAGAGACGGGATTGATTCACAATGATGATGTGATGAGGATCTATGTGGACAGTCAAAGGCTGGTTGATTGTCCTGAAAATTCTGTTGTGGTTGAGCCAAAACGGCCCAAGCTTGATCTCAAGGTTTCTGACAGCAGTGACAACCCAGCTTCTGATGGTGCTCAAGGTGGCAACAATGATGCGTCGAGGTCTGGCACGCCGAAGCTGAAACAGACATCTCTGACGGAGCCAATGGCCACAGAGGCGGATCGGGAACAAGAACAGAAGTCAGATGTCTTAGAGGCTCCCCTGCCTCTCGCTACAACCTCTGTTGACCAATCAGGAACTGACAGTCCAGGTGACGAATCAGCTGCTGATACTTCAGATGAGGTGCGGGATTCCATGGTGGTGCTGCAGGTCGCACAAGGTCTCCTGGATCTAAGAAACTGCACAGATCGATGAGGTCCCCGTTGCAGTGAAAGAGGATGTACAGCCGAGTGCTTCTGATCTACTTCCTCCGTTCGGAATTACTTGTCGCAGAAATGGATGTATCTAGACATATTTTAGTTCTAGATACATCCATTTTCGAGACAAGTAATTCCGAACGGAGGGAGTAAAATCATTAGGTACCCGTTAACTGAAAGTGCACTGCCCTGACCCCTGAGGGTGAAGTCTGAATCGCAACCATGATAGACGGTTCAGTGTGAGCCTATACAGGATATCGTGTCGAGTCGATGAGATTTCTTGACTTGCTGGTTCCATCACCCTGAAACCAAAACTCAGTTTTTTTTTTTGCGTCTACTGGTAGATAGGTACAGGTTACTATACTGATGATACTTTTGCATAATGGCGAAGTCATTGCGTGCTTGCTTCGATGGTGAAGCAGTTTTGTCCAGTTACATGCAATGGATCATTTCTAGTTCTGCTTTATACTTTGTTTCTGTACATGCTGATATCTTGATAATATTGCTTGCCTCTGGTTCATGAGTGAATATTCCTCGACATACACTCATGTGGAGTATTGGGTGGCAAATATGGCGTGGCCTTTTTTTTGTTTGCTAGTTGCTCTGTTTATATATATATCCATATGTTTGCTCATGAATCGCCTCTTAAAAATACAGGAATTTGGATGATCATGAGTTCATTATGGCTGGATGCTTTGCATGCTTGGATAATCATGAGTTTATTATGGCTGTGATTGCGCTGTTTTCCTGTTCAGTCGTTTCGCGTCTCAACAACTTAACAAATTCACTAAACTTGGCGATGTTTGAACTTTTGTGTAATGGACTTTATGAGTGTGGAGTCTCGGCTTTCTGAACATCAACTCAGGGACGATGAACTGGATTTGGAAGCTCTTTTCAAGAGGACCAGGGTTTGTGGAAGAAGTTGATCTTGGCAAAGTATGCGGGCACCAAGGACATCTTTTCTTGCTCGAGGCAGGGAGGATCCCACTGCCTTCACCAAACCCCAGCTTTAGGATAGCGAAGGTTCTGATTGAACTGGTGGTGGCAAGGCACCGGTCTGCTCAAATATGTTCCTAAATATAAGCTTTTTTTAGTCCATATTAAAATATGTCTATATACATCCGTATGTAGTCCATATTAAACTCTCTAAATTGGCTTATATTCAGGAGCAGAGGGAGTATAATGTATATATAAAAGACGACTATAGAAATTTGTATAATTTAAAAGAAAATAACACTTCTGCTAGCTCAAATATAATGTAACTCTAGACCACTAAAACCTATCAAACAAGTCAACAGTAGTCATTCTCAAAACATTGTACTAATAACATTTCCTAGTAATTTGTATAGTCTACGTTGGATATCCTTTGAGATTTCAATCTAGCCGTGAGACAATGATGTTATGTATTATAAGATACTAACGTTTGTTTGAGATTCAGGGATTATGTTCAGCTTTACCAGTTAAACTGAATCTCTGAAATCTAAAAAAAAAATCGAATCAGTTTTTGTAAAATGAAGGCTCAAAAAGAGCCCTGCTTTGAAATTACATCGATCAACATCTTACAACAAACAAGAACAAATACGTGCTTACAGAAACACTGGTGAGCCGCCTGGTGCATAAAAGCTATGGGGTCGCTTAGGGGTGTTAAATCCATGAACATATTTGAAGTTCACAAAGGAAATAATTAAGTTTGTGAGCATAATATACCTTTTTCAAATTTGCAAAAAAAATTGAAATCAATTAAAAAAAACCATGAACTTTATTAATAACAAAACTAATGGGGTAGATTCCTCGGTTCACAAGCTCTGAGCTCCGATTTGTTGGCTTTAGTTGCAAATGATATCGGACATGGTTGTCTCCTTTTAGCACCCGTTGAAGCTGAGCATTCCTTCAGATTTTTTTGGTTTCAGTTCAGTATAAAATGTTCTCACATCAGCTCATCCTGAGCTGAAAAAATGATTTAAAATAAAGCATCGAAAGCAGATCAAATGCAATTGCGAAGGTTTAGGAACTGCAGAAGTACAAACAGCAAAAAAACAGGCACAAGTTCAGGGCTCATTTATTCATTCAAGTTCATCCAAATCTGCTGCAGCACAGCATAAAGTTCAGACACAGCCAGATATAACGCTAGACCACAACACGGTAGCAACAAAGAACAAGACCAGACGAGGACACGCTGACAATCACAACGGAGTACACAGAAAGACAACCGACTCGTGAGCCCAGAGACATAAGCAGCTCCATGGCCAGGCACTTACTGGCCACCACGGAGGCGGAGCACCAAGTGAAGGGTGGACTCCTTCTGGATGTTGTAGTCCGCCAGAGTGCGGCCATCCTCGAGCTGCTTACCAGCAAAGATGAGGCGCTGCTGGTCTGGTGGGATACCCTCCTTGTCCTGGATCTTCGCCTTCACATTGTCGATGGTGTCTGAAGACTCGACCTCGAGCGTGATGGTCTTGCCGGTGAGGGTCTTCACAAAGATCTGCATACC